GGGGGTGGTAGCTGAGGGTCTATCAGTGGGGGAGAGGTAAGTAGTTGGAGGGGTGGAGGTTTGTTGTGGGGTGATAGGGGTGTGGGGGTCTGTCAGTGGGGGGAGGGGTCCATAGTTGGGGGGATGGAGGTTTGTCAGTGGGGGGAGAGTTCATTAGCTGGGGGTCTATCAGTTGGGGGAGGAGATGGTAGTTGGGGGTGGGTGGTGTCTGTCAGTTGGGGGTGGGGCCGTAGTTGGGGTTCTGTCAGTGGGGGGCTGGGTCGGTAGTTGGGGGGGTTTGGGGCAGTAGTTGGGGGGGTCTGGGTCTGTTAGTAGTGAGAGGGTACATTAGTTGGGGGGTGAGATGGTGTATCAGTGGGAGTCTGTGGCAGTAGTTGGGGGGTAGGGGTGTATCAGTGGGGTGGTAGTTGGGGTCTTTCAGTGGGGAGTGGAGGAGGTAGCTGGGGGAGAGTGAATCTGTCCGTAGGGGGCAGGGTTGGTAGCTGTGTGGGTCTGACAGTGTCGGGCAGGGGGCAGTAGTTCGGCTTTGGGGATGTCAGTGTGGGGGGAGCTTGAGAACGCCCGATGGGAGGGGTGAAACGCGTTGACGCATTTCCGGTCCATACCCCGTATGTCTGACGTCACTTCCGGTGAGTGGAGCGCACGCTGAGCGGTGCTTTCCAGCGGCCATCTTTGGGAGCCTTGTTTGGTCTGTGTGGAGTCTCTGCTCTGTTCTATGGCTGATATTCATGTCTTACCTGGAGTCTACTATATATAAATAAATGTGCCTTTTACAAGTCGATGATATGTGAGTGGCCTTAATCTATACTTTGAAATTTCTAATATTATGTGGCAATATCACACTATGTGAGATTTTTTTTCCTGGTTAAACGGTGGAGCCCACGTGGATGTTGAAGATCCCTATAGAGTGAATGCGAAAGAGGGTTTAGGATCCCTGTAAAAGTCCTTAAAGGCTTTTCACTCACCAAGGAAGACTGTTTTGTTTACTAACAGTCTTCCTCCCTGTCGGCTTGGGCACACTGCTCTGGATGGCCGTGCACAGCACAGCCATCCAAAATAGTGTGCTTACAGTGAAGCACACACACCCCACCCCCTAGTAAAACACTCCCTCCACATAGTTATCCCTTTGATCGCCCTCATATTAACCCCTTCCTGCTCAGTGCCATTAGTACAGTGTCAGTGCTTTTTGTTAGCATTGATCTCTGTATTGGTGTCAGTGACACCAAGCCAGTAACCCCCAGTGTCAGAATGTCTGCCGCAGTCCCACTAAAAGTCGCTCATCGCGATAGTAGAAAAAAAAAATCCCAGTATGTATACCGCCATTTGTAAACGCTATAACTTTCACATAAATTGATTAATTTATATGTATTGGGATTTTTTTTAGCAAAGACATGATCCAAGGTCTAAAATGCATGTCCCCCCTCTGCTCCACTGAATGTAAAGTGGTGCACATCGCACCATATTACATTCTTTCCCGTGGATTGCATTACAATCGCTTAGCGGAGACCCGGACATGACACTGGGTTAGCACAAGAAGGGGAGAGGAGCAAGCAGGGCCCACAGATGGGCAAGCGGTACTTGGGAGACCTCATGCCAGGGATGCGGAGAGGCTGGCATTGTGTGAAGCAATCGGCAGCAGGGCTGCCACCAATTGCTTCACCTGAGAAGTGAGCCCTGCTAAAGGTAGAAAAAAAACCACCTGCCCGGAGCCAGGAACTACATGTCGGGCCATAGGAATCCAACATCCCTGCACTGGGGATGTCAGCGACACCAAGTCAGTTCCCACCCAGTGTCAGATTGCCCACTGCAGTCCCCCAGTTCGGCTGCAGTCCTGATCACTGCCATTACTGGTGTAAAAGAATTTAAATGCCAGTATATATACCGCCATTTGTAGACCCTAATACTTTCATGTAGACCAATTAATTTATACGTATTGGGATTTTATTTGGCAGACATGCAGCAGAATACATTTTGGCCCAAATTTATGACAAAATCTGATTTTAACATTTTTTACTAGATTTTAAAAAGTCAAAAATATTTTTTTTTTCAAAATTGTTGGTCTTTTTTTGTTTATAGTGCAAAAAATAAAAGACACACAGGCAATCCAATACCACCAAAAGAAAACTCTATTCATGGGAAAAAAAGAACACAGCGTTGCATGACTGTGCAATTGTCAGTTAAAGTAACGCAGAGCCATATCACAAAATATAACCTGGTCAGGAAATCGGAGTGGAGCTCACATGCTTCCTGTTGAGTGGAGCTCTTCTCTCCAGCCTCTGTTTATTTGTTACAATAAAGTTCACTAGAAAAAAAAAAAGGGGGCGTGGAGGTCACGTGCCTTCTATCAAAAATGGAGCTCCATTCTGCAGCCAGACTCTATTGCTTACAAGAGCCGATACTTCCGGCTAATGTGTTGTAGGTAATAGCAGCGCGACACTAGCGGAAGTCACATGATCAGCTCCGGGTCACCTTACCTACCAATGTAAATGAGGGATCGGTAAGTTCAGCGCCTGAAGACGAGGGCTGGTGTGGTCATTGTCAGTGTGCCTTCCTGGACTAGGTGAGCGCTGTCCTCTGCCGCTGCTATTACTACTTGTATGCTGCACGCCGAATAGCTGGCATTGGACCGGAGACAGCAGTGTAGGTGACGGGAGACACGTCACAATCACTTGGTTCACATTTTGACCGTTACAACAATAAATATACATTCTTTGCAGAAACAGCAGTCCGGCCGTTTAACCACTTCCCTACCGGGCACTTCCACCCCCTTCCTGTCCAGGCCAATTTTCAGCTGTTACACTTTGAATGACAATTGCGCGGTCATGCAACACTGTACCCATATGAAATTTGTAACATTTTTTTTTACACAAATAGAGCTTTATTTTGGTGGTATTTAATCACCACAGGGTGTTTTATTTTTTGCACAATAAAGAAAAAAAGAGCAAAACTTGGAAGGGCACTGATGAGGTGGTACGGATAGGCAGTACTGATGGGCACTGATGAAGTGGCACTGGTGGGCATTGATGAGGCCCTGATTATGCTGCACTGATGAAGTGGCACTGATAGGCTGCACTGATGAGGTAGCACTGGTGGGCATTGGTGATGCTGCACTGATAGGTGACACTGACTGGTGGCTCTGCTGGGCAGCACTGATGGGTGGAACTGGTGGGCACTGATGATCAGTGCAGATGTCCTCTGTGGCATTTGCCGGTTATCGGCAGTACTTTCTGCACTTGCTGTTTATCATCAGTACTTTCCTCACGCTGTGGCAGCGTGAGGAAAGTGCTGCTGATAACCGGCAACTGTATGTACTCAGTGATCTGGGCACAGCTGATCACATGGTAAAAGGCCACTGTGATTGGCCTGTTAACTCATCAAGTGATCAGCTGTGTCCGTAGGACACAGCTATCACAGACGGCGCTGAGGGCGTGTTCTGGGAGGATGTCATATGACGCCCTCCCAGAACTGGAAAACCGCGCTGTAGCTGTCTTTTGGCTATAGTGCGATCGTGAAGTGGTTAAACATTGAGTGCACACCATGGGTGTAGTGACAAAGACTTCATTCAATAATAGCATTCAGTTCAAACCTTTTTTCATTTACATTGCCCCCTTATTTACATAATAAAGAGGTATTAAACATATATTTGGCGTACAGGTAAGCCTGTAGTAAAGCCAGCTATAGATGGATTGAAATTCACCTGGTTCGGTAGAGACTGGCCCAAATTTTGATCCATCTATGGGTAGGCTGGTTGTACTTTAGTTGATCTAATGACTTCAGTACAACCAGCCTTTCAGGTTTATTTCGCCCAATCATTGCCGGGGCTATAGCCACCAGCATGGATCATTATGTTCTGACAGTTGCTGAGGCTCCCCGCTGCCAGAACACAATAAAGCTGCACACTGACTGTGTTAATGGGGGAATCGAGTAATTTTCCTTCCTGTGGTTGAAGGGAAAAAAAATATGCACAGCCATTGAGGAGAGTGGAGGGAGGTCAGAGCCCTCACTCTTCTCTCATCGCCCCTTTGGTGGAGTTGGGAGCCAGCAGTCAAGCTCGTCCTTCCATCCCCCATGCCCGCCATCCTGTCACATCTCTGTCATTCCCCCCGGAGTGACGCTTAGAGACTGGCTGATGGAGAGGTGGTGGCTGGGAGCTGTGTATTCCCAGAGAGCGCCGACACCCCACACACAGCAGGCTGGAGTGCCAATATGATGTGAAGAAGAAAAATAAAACATTAGCTCTGCGACAGGTAAGCAGCAGAGCTAAAGTTTTTTGTTCTTTTTTTTGGTTTGTTTTCAGATGTTAAAACGAAATCAGCTGCCCGGCGCCCCAATCTGCATTTCCGGGGCGTTGGTCAATAGGAATTGCTCATGCCTGGTCCCAACAGTGAATCGTTTGACAAAAGCCCAGGCACCAGGACACAATTTCTAGTCACCATGGCAACCTGGCATCTGCAATTTGTCGAGCCCTGGTTTCAAATCTGAATTCCAGGAATCCTGAAAATTCTCATTTGCAGTGGGACTGCGTCTGCACTGCAAGGGCTAGCTACTCGTTTAGTCTAGGGGATTGTAAAAAGGTTTCTTCCCTGATCCTGCACTCCAGCAGAAGGCACTCCCTCATGCCCTGGCAGTGGACTGTCCCTTAGCAATCTTTCATCCAGTGCAAGGTTATAGACCATACTTCGGTCATGATGATGTCAGTGGACCTTAAACTGTCAGAGCATGGGGAAGAAGGTTTTGTGGGACCAGACTAGCAGACTGGTTGATCAATGAATGTGGTTGTAAAGCTATAGAGTTTTTATCTTAATGTGTTAAAAAAAAAAATCTTTTACACGGTGGTCCTGGAGTCCAGTTTTTTGTTCAGGTTGCCTTAATATGTAGATTGTGTTTATTATAGTCCATTAGCTGCTTCCTAGTCCTGATAGATAAGTTCAAGCTTCACTGTGAATATTGTGTCTTATTTTTTATGTGTATGTCATCTTATATTTTTAGTTTCTCACGTGATGCCACTGCATAAATACCCACCTGCCATCTGGAAGTCTATGAGGTTAAAGGAAGGTATTTATGCACGCCTGCCTGCCCATTTTCTGAAATCCCTGAATGACACAGAGAAGCCCACTGCAGTACATTGGAAACCACATGGACTAAAATACAGGATAAATCCAAAAACTGCACAGCGAGAGCGTGTTGCTGATGTTCCAATACTTCCATACTTTCCTCCAGAAGCCAATGATGGACTTTGGGGTGGAGAAGGCTGGATCAGTGGCTTTCGTTATGCCAATAATGACAAGGTAAAATATTCTCTGACATTGAACAGTGGGGGGAGATTTACTAGAACTGGTGCAGCTGTGCATGGCATCCAATCAGCGCCTAACTTCAGCTTGTTTAATTAGGCTTTGACAATAAAACCTGGAAGCTGATTGGATTCTATGCAGAGATGCACCAGATTTTAAACTCTCCAGTTTTAGTAAATCTCCCCCAATGACTATTTTTATTTAAATATTCAATTTTTTTGATCTTTCTAATTCTTTATATAAGCAGAATGTTTTGGGGTTTTTTTTTAATACACTGTATTGCCAAAAGTATCGGGACGCCTGCCCTTACACACATATGAACTTTAACTTTTATTGAGTTGGCCCGCCCTTTGCAGCTATAGCAGCTTCAACTCTTCTGGGAAGGCTGTCCACAAGGTTTAGGAGTGTGTTTATGGGAATGTTTGACCATTCTTCCAGAAGCACATTTATGAAGTGAGGCATTGATGTCGGATGAGAAGGCCTGGCTCGCAGTCTCCTTTCTAATTCATTCCAAAGGTGTTCTATTGGGTGCAGGCCAGTCAAGTTCCTCCATTCCAAATTTGCTCCTCCATGTCTTTATGGACTTTCTTTGTGCCCTGGTGCGGAGTCATGTTGGAACAGGAAGGGGCCATCCCCAAACTGTTCCCACAAAGTTGGGAGCGTGAAATTGTCCAAAATGTCTTGGTATGCTGAAGCCTTAAGAGTTCTCTTCTCTTCACTGGAACTAAAGGGCCAAGCCCCACCCCTGAAAAGCAATCCCACATCATAATCCCCCCTCCACCAAACTTTACACTTGGCACAATGCAGTCAGTCAAGTACCATTCACCTGGTAACCGTCAAACCCAAACACATCCGTCGGATTGCCAGACAGAGAAGAGCGATTTGTCACTCCAGAGAACACGTCTCTATTGCTCTAGAGTCCAGTGGCAGCGTGCTTTACACCACTACATCTGAAGCTTTGCATTGCACTTGGTGATATAAGGCTTAGATGCAGCTGCTCGGCCATGGAAACCCATTCCATGAAGCTCTCTATGAACTATTGTTGTGCTAATCTGAAGGCCACATGACGTTTGGAAGTCTTTAGCTATTGACTCTGTAGACAGTTGCCGACTTCTGCGCACTTCCGCATGCGCTGAGCTTGCTCTGTCATTTTACATGGCTTATGACTTCATGGTTGAGTTGCTGTTGTTCCCAGTTTCCTCCAGTTTGTTATACCACTAACAGTTGACCGTGGAATATTTTGTAGCAAGAAAATTTCACGGATGGACTTATTGCACAGGTGGCAACCTATCACGGTACCACGCTTGAATTCACTGAGCTCCTTAGAGCGACCCATTCTTTCACAAATGTTTGTAGAAGCAGTCTGTATGCCTAGGTGTTTGATTTTATACACCTGTGGCCATGGAGTTAAAGTTTTATCCAAACTCAAGAACAAAAAGGTAACATCTTGCAGCTTACCAGTCTTTGTATGTGGTAGCTGCATTTGTTTTGTTTTGTTTTTTTTGGCTAAGTACAGAAAAATATCTGTGAATTATGACAGAAATACAATGGGGTTGATTTACTAAAACTGGAGAGCACAAAAGCTGGTGCAGCTCTGCATAGAAACCAATCCTCTTCCAGGTTTTTGTCAAAGCTTAATTGAACAAGTTGAAGTTAGAAGCTAATTGGCTACCATGTACAGCTGCGCTAGATTATGCGTGCTCCAATTTTAATAAATCAACCCCACTGTCATTCCAGTGTACTTTTTCAGAAATGTTATTGGCTTTCCCAGCTTTTTTTTCTGTGAATTACAAAACCCTCCACTGTATGCAATGGCTAGGGGAAGGTGTTTGTAAAAAATTAAATCAGTTGCTCATTCTTGGGTGACAACTAGACTGCTCTCTGGAGGCAGATATATTTATAACAATTTACATTGGTAGAGTGTTTTGTAGCCAGTGTGCAAAAATAGATTTTGTTTGTAATAAAGGTAATAGCTTGGAATATTACATTCAAGCTCTGGGCTTCTTTTCATATGTTTTCCAAAGCTATACATGTAATGTCAGTTTAAATATGTTGAAACGTTATACCATTGTATTTTCCTTTTTTGCATGTAATCCAAATTGAATGGAACATATGTATTGGTAGAGAAGGTAACCTGCAGTGAAAGTCACAGACGGGCACCGTGTAATTGTTTTATGTGATTCTGTTTTGTAGCTCTCGAACCGATTAAGGGTTACATGGAAGCCTCAGCTCTTCACTCGTGAACTATACAGTGAAATACTAGACAAAACATTTTCTATAAAGGTGACAATGAGAACTTTGGATCTTATTGATGCTGCTTATGGATTTGATTTTTATATCCTCAAGGTATGAATATGAAACGCAAAACACATACAGCATGCATGTACTGTATATTATTGTGCAGTAGCTCATTTAATTCAAACATCTTTATGAAAATTCCTCATGTTCCTTATTTTGTTCTTTTAAATGGCTTTCGTATTGAATTAATAGTGGTAATCACATATCAAGCACATGTTTGCATGATTTTATGTAGTTATAGCTAATCTCCGGGCAAAAAGCTTTCATTTAAATATATTTTTCAGTAACCACAAAAAATATAAATGTACTTTGTATGCGCCAGGTCCACCCACTGCAGACTGCCTGTAAAAATCTACAAGGGGAGGGCAAATACAAAACCCTGCATAAGTACAGTGTGCAGCACTGATTGGTCCTTATTTCAGGAAGCTCCTGCAGAAAGGCACAGTTTCACACTGGATTACTGCACAGATATGGAAAAATACACAAAGCACACCAACATTCAAGTAAGGGTTCATGTTTCTTGAATTTGAAGAACCTTTGCTTATTCCCAGAGATCAGCTTTAAAGTATGCATAGGTGAAAGTTAGTTCACATTCAGGGTTCATATTTGTATAAAAGGGGATCGTTAGTCTGGTTTTCTAATAATATGTGGTTAAGGCTCCATTCACACTTGTGAATGCGCCTTTGAAAAAGTTCTTGCACTACTTTGATGCGATTTGAGTGCCAGAGAGTGTAAAGTTGCATTAAAAGTTGCACTGGAAATCATGCGACTTTGGAGTTGCAGAAGTGTGAACAGAACCTTAAAGCCTAATATACCACCCCTAATTGTATGTGCTCTATTGTTTTTCTTAATGTGTTTAGACTCCACAGAGGGATTTATGCTCCAAGTTAGGAATGGATCTAAAAAGAGCTATGCTAATGCGTCTTGCTAAAAAAGACCCAGATCTTCACTCTGATGATCAAACAAAAAGAGAACAGATTTATAACAAGTACAAGGTTTGTTCTTATTTTATTATTTTTTTTTCTGTGGATGTTGTTTATAATTCATTTAACTCATAGTTATATGTCAGAAAGCTGTTTTTTTTTTCCAAATGGAGGTTGAGCTATTTAAGGCTCCATGCACACTAGCATTTTTTGTTTTTAAGCTCAATGCAATAAAAACACTGGATGAAAAACACTGATAATAGCATTTTTGTTCCAGCATTTTAGAAATGTTTAGGAGCATTGGAATTTTATCAGTGTTTTTACAGTACATGAAGGAAAAAAAAAACTTAGAAGCACTTTAGAAACGGCTCAGTGTTTTTTTTTTTCTGCCGGGAAACTGCTTCCAAAAACTATATTTTTACAACCTTTATGGTTGTACTGAAGTCAATCTATTGCTAAACTTCAGTACAAAAAGCCTGTCAGAGGTTTTTTTTCTTTTTTCGTAAGATCACTGCAGTGATCATTGTATTTTGAAGGAGGAGAAACCTCCTGCTGTCAGAATACAATGGGATTTCCCCATCAACACAGTCCACAACCTGTAGTTGAAGGAAAGAAAAGTGCATAATCACAGCACAGTAAAGCACAGATCAATTATAGCTGCCCGTATATATCATTGCAAGCTAGCATTCTTTACTCTTCTCTCCACACACTTGACTTTTTAAGCATTTTCATGCCTTTTCGACTTTTAAACGTAAACTAAAGGCAGGTGAATAATAGCAAGAAGTGGATGTGAATGAACCATGAACCTGGACTGGTCAACTATTTAGGAAATGTTATTGCCAGAAGGAAAGTTAATAGAGCACTGCTAAAAGAAATCTGTCCTAGGATAAATATTAGGACTGGCAATGCTAACCTCCTAAGAATTTAATTACTGACTTTATTACTTTCTCATTCACTGATCTGGAACAAGAACTTTTATCAGTACAGTCAGAAGTCCTTATCTTTCCTACCTGTTGGCGGGTGTAGCTGGTTATACATCAGTCATATTTTCGAAAATATTGGCTGAAAAGCACCTGCATCCAAGCAGATGCACTATTCTGGTAAATGTCTGCTCCAGCAGCTATTGAAAACAATAGCCGGCAACTGACATTCCTCTCTCCATGCTGGAGAGAGAAATTCAAAGCACGTATGGCCATTTTTTTGACTGAAACAATGAACCCAGAGAGTCAACATGGTAGACCGTAAGCTATCATTTGCAGAATGGAACATCCTCAATGACAGCCACTATGATTCTTTGGAAACTTTTGCAGTCCTTAAAAGAATGTCTTTAATGTCGTCTAGTCTATTACTTAATGCAGCTAAGCCGGACCTGCAGTAGAGGATGATTTATACTTCCTGTCCACTGTCTGTACCCCAGATCTTGCTCTCTTGAAGATCAAGTTCTTATTCACACCTGACACACTTTCATGTGTGTCAGATGCCTGGTTCTATGCTGCATGTTCTTTTCCTGCTGGGCCCCTATGTTGCTACAGGACACACTGTCTGCTGACTTCTATGATACTATCACAACATATGGCGGGGGTTGCAGGTATCCAACACTCTAGAAGTTGAAGGTGAAGGTTTTTCTGATGGCTGTAGCTCTAGAACAAACAATCATTGGAGGAACAGGAGGTGAGACAGTTGAGTATAAATCCTCTTCTTTTGCAGGTCCTGCTCAACTGGATTGTAATCAAGAATCCAATTTGTTCTCAGGAGTCTTCCAGATTTTAGATTTCTGGACATTCATTTCTTTGTACTGTTGGAAGAATTTGCTTAGTGCAGCTCCACAAATACAGTTAGGTCCATATATATTTGGACACAGGCACAATTTTCATACTTTTGGCTCTGTATGCCACCAGAATAAATTAAAACAAAACAATCCAAATGAATTTGAAGTGCAGACTTTCAGCTTTAATTCAAGGGGTTGAACATAAATAGCAAGTACAAAGTTTAGGAACTGCAACCATTTTTTTTTTTACACAGTCCCTTAATTTTCAGGTGCTCAATGTAATTGGACAAATGAATATAATCATAAATAAAATGTTCATTTTTAATATTTTGTTGAGAATCCTTTACTGACAATGACTGGCTGAAGCCTGGAACCCATGGACATTACCAAAGACTGGGTTTCCTCCTTTCTGATGCTTTGCCAGGCTCTAACTGCAGCTGTCTTCAGTTGTTCTTTGTGGGTATTTCTGCCTTTAGTTTTGCCTTCATCAAGTGAAATGCATGCTGAATTAGGTTGAGATCAGGTGATTTACTCGGCCATTGCAGAATATTCCACTTTTTTTTTCCTTCAAAAGCTCCTGGTTTGCTTTTGCAGTGTGTTTTTGATCATTGTTCATCGGTACTGTGTAATGCTGTCCAATCATATTTGCTGAATCTGGGATGACAGTATGTCTCTAAACACTGCAGAATTCATCCAGCTGCTTCTGTCTTCTATCACATCATCAATAAAACCCAATGACCCAGTTCCGCTGGAAGCCATGCATGCCCATGCTATCACACTGCCTCCACCATGTTTTACAGATGACGTTGTGTGCTTTGGATCATGAGCTGTTCCAAGCCTTCTCCACACTTTTTTCTTCCTGTCATTCTGGTACAGATTAATCTTAGTTTCATCCGTCCAAAGAATGCTTTTCCAGAACTGGTCTGCCCTTTTTTAGATTTTTTTTTGCAAAGTCTAATCTGGCTTTTCTATTCTTCAGGCTTATGAATGGTTTGCGCCTTGAGTGAACCCTCTATATTTGCTCTCGTGAAGTCTTCTCTAGATTGTAAACTTTGAGAATGATACACCCACCTCCTGGAGAGTGTCCTTCACTTGTCTGGATGTTGTGAATTGGTTTTTCTTTACCATAGAGAGGATTCTGCGATCAACCACCACTGTTGTCTTCCGTGGAAGTCAATGCCTTTATATGTTGCTGAGCTCACCAGTGTGTTCTTCTTTCCTCAGAATGTACCAAACTGTTGATTTGGCCACTCCTAATGTTGCTGCTATCTCTCTGATGTATTTGTTTTGTTTTTGAAGCCTTACAATGGCCTGTTCAACTTGCATGGACAGCTTCTTTGAACGCATGATGTAGGATCACAGGAATGGATTCCAAATGCAAATACCACACTTAGAATGAACTCCAGACCTTTTACCTGCTTAATTGATGAAGAAATAATGGAGTAGCCAACACCTGGCCATGAAACAGCTTTTGATTCAAATGTCCAATTACTTTTGGTCCCTTGAAAAAGGGGGGGGGGGTGGCTACTCTTAAGAGCTGTAATTCCTAAACCCTTTCTCCAATTTGGATGTACATACCCTCAAATTAAACCTGAGTGTGCACTTTCAGCCCATATCCATTATATAACTATAACTTGAATATGTTTTGGTAAATACCTGAAAAAAAACTAAAATTGTGCCTGTGTCCAAATATATATGGACCTAACTGTATATCTTGATTGTACAGTACAAGATACAGGCAAGTTATTCATACACCATGGGTTATAGGCTAACACCTTCAGGTAATGGGACACTGGCAAGCTTTTGAGGATACGTTCTCCTGGCGTGTCTCCCCTACAACCCCGACACCACACTCAAGTCATGCTTGTGTCGGAAGGTGATGGACCTCTTGTCCTTCCTGAAGAAACCAGCTTCACTGCTTTATTATCTTTCTTTTATTGTTTTTCTAAGGACTCTGCATTCAACCTTACAGTCTACAACTGTACCGTGACCCCATGCCATGGGCACAGCCTGTACGGTTGCTTCAAGCACTGGATCCTTTGTGAGCCGTTCACATGAGTTTTTGGTTCAGCACGTTGTTAGCCGTACAGTGCTATACAAGTCCAGGGCCGTAGTCAATCACTATGGAATCCAGCCCCTGCAGACCCTTTCGGGGATATGCCCACTGCAACTAGTGAAGCCGGAGGCCTGCTCAACACCTCAGAGGGACAATGCTTTCCTTGCATCAGAGTACCAGTAACATTGGCTACAGCATTTTATTCTAGTTCTATCTGAGGCACACTACAGGTGGCCTGTGTGACAAGAACAGAGTTCTCTGCATCTGTGTCAGAATTACAGCTTTAATGCAGCCATCGTTGTCCACCTCACATCTTCTACTCCCATTCATCAACAAGAATCAGACTCTTTACCTTGGCAGACCAAGCCATGCAACTAGCTCTGGATGCTATTTCAGTATGTCAAACTGCAGCAAACTGGACTAGGACAATGAACAACCAACATGACCCTGTCTTTCAGAATTGTGCAGTTACAGAGCAATTGTGGTGTCTTCCATCTGCTATTTTTGTATAGATGCCTTGAAACATGAGACATATGCAGAATGGCTCTAATCTCCATTCATAAGCTCAGTATTATCTGGCTAAAAGCTTGGATAGCAGAAGCTACCTGTAAGAGGTGCCTCACACGCATGCCTTTGCTTCCTTAACGAAACCAACCCTGCAGGAGCTGATACTTCCTCAACGCCGAGCACCTTGCACTCTTCCCAGGCTTTAAATTCTAAATGTAAGTTCAGCTCTTGTGGCTTATCCCACAAAGGCCGCCAAGTCCTCTCCAAAGACCTCTTCACAATGAAGGGGGCACCTTCCCTCTTAAAAGTGGTCGGGTGTCTGGTGCTGTTTGCATCTCTCTGGGTCACAGATGTTTTAGATCTGTGGGTTCAGTGGTTTCCAAAGGTTACAAAATAGAGTTCAAAAGTCTGTCGCCTCACCGTTTTTCTTCTTTCAGATCAAACTAAAACTGTCCAAGTACAGTCAAATTTGCAGAAGGCCCCGAGCCACCACTTATCCCAAGGAGTCATTGTACCAGTATCGCCACAAGGCAGGTTCGTGGAATTCTAATCAAATCTGTTAACGTACCAAAGCCTAGCAAAGGTATCTGTCCTTATCGCTCAGCAATGTACAGCTCTCTGGGACAATCCACCTTGCCTGCACAATTTGCTAATACATTTGAGACCCTGAGGGTTTCCATCCCAGATAACCGTTTTTTTTTTTTATCACCTTTACTGTTACCTTAAGTTCACTATCTGTACATTTTGACCTGTTTTGGTCCCAGCATGGGCAAATTGTTGGTTCCTAAAGTTAATCAAGATAATTGAACATACGTTCTTCAACAAATTCCTCTGCATTCCAAAATTTCATATGGAATCAGCAAGGTAAGTAATTGCCTCTCTGAGACAAGTGGAATACAATTATATATGGACATCCAAGATGCCTATCCCATTTACCCTCCACATCAGTGGTTTCTATGCTGTGGCAAATTACCACTTTCAGTTGTCGCATTACCTTTAGGCCTGGCCTCTGCTCCCGGGGTGTGTACAGACATCTTAGCACCCTTACCTGCTCTTCTAAGACCTCAGGACATTCAGATGACAGGCTGTCTAGACGACCCTCTCCTGAAGAATGCATTCCCCCTACAACTTTTAGTACATGTCCTAAGAACAGTTCAACTGCTTCATCCCTTGTGCCATGGCTGGGTGATCAATTTCTGCTCTCCAGCCTTTCATGCATGTAGAGCAGGGGTGTCTAACTGGTGGCCCTCCAGCTGTTGCAAAACTACAAGTCCCATCATGCCTCTGCCTTTGGGAGTCATTCTCGTAACTGTCAGTCTTGCAATGCCTAATGGGACTTGTAGTTTGGCAACAGCTGGAGGGCTGCCAGTTTGACACCTGTGATCTAGAGTATCGTGGCCTCATCCTAAAAACATCTCATACAAAAGTCTTTTTTCCAGAAAAGAAAGCTCTTCCACTGAGAGCTCATGCTCGACAAATGAGACCTGAGACAAATTCATTAGTGAGATTATCTGAGAATTCTGAGTATAATGTTTGCTTCGAGGCAGTACCTTTCACCCAATTTCATTCAAGAACTTTCCAACTAAACATACTATCAGAACGGAAAATGATCCCTGGAACTACCCATGCTTCTATACCCCCAGTCAAGAAATTCAGCTCTAACAGTGAGATGATCTTCTTTTCCTACAATTGGAAAGTTCGTACAAACGATACAAGTCTGTCAGGCAAGAGAGAGGAGTCTTTCACTCCTCTTACTCCTTGACAGTCAAGGAAGCAAATCAGGTTGTCTTCTGAACAGTGACTCACTGACCAGTGATTTCTGTGGTTTGCATCCCAGGAATAGACAGTTATCAAGTGGATTATTTCAGTCGCCACTGTTTGAATCAATGGGAATGGTCTCTTCGTCCAGATGTGTTCAATCTGATATGTCAAAAATAGCGGACTCTGGATGTGGACTTCCTATCCTCCAGAATAAACAACAAACTACGTTTGTTTCTACCAAGAACCAGGGATCCTCTGGCTCTGGCCTTGGAATATCCCCATGTCCCAGTTCAGGCTACATGACTCCTCCACAGAATACCTTGCCTGCAGACTTATCCTAAATTTTACAAAGGCCTCTAGCTTTGCATCCCTAATAAAAACCTTTATTCATGGTGTTTCTCATAACAGGCCCCCATGCACCATCATGTGCTCCCCTGGTACCTTAACTTGGTTCTTCTGCCTTGTAAGAAGCCCCCTTTGAACCCTTCAGGGATTATTCCCTTGGAGTTTTGCCAATAAAGTACCTTTTCTGGTTGCCCAAACATCTGTTGGAGAACTGGCCACTCTTTCTTGTAAAGAGCTCTTCCACATATGTCATAGTGATGACATCATATTATGCCCTAGACCAGTCCACTCATCCATCTCTGATCCAGGGCAAACTGAGTCTTGTGCTCTTGGCACCCCAGGGGGACCCAAGTAGCACCCTAGTTGAGAAGCACTACCATAACTATCCTCTCCTAAGGTGCTTTCAGCATTTCATCTCAATGAGGACATTACAATGTTCTACCATCCTTGTGCCTTGCTCCTAGGCATCCAAAGGATGTTTCTTTACATAGCCTAGATGTTGGTAGAGCCATTAGGGTGCTCCTAAAAGCTACTGCTTCTATTAGATAAGCAGACTTTGTCCTTTTCTTGGGTCCTCCCAAGGTGCACCCTGCATCAAAATCCACCATTGCTAGATAGTTAAGAAATTTGATTACTAGGGTTTGTGTCTAAAACAACTGCAATATTACACACACACTCCACCAGATCTGTTAAAACCTACTGGGCCTTTAGGCACCAATCCTCAGTCGCCCAACTCTGTAGGGCTGCTGCCTGGTTTTCTGTTCAGCAGCAGGTGCATGTTCCTTCTTCTGCTGATGCAGCTTTTGCCCGCAAGATTCTCTCAGCAGCACTCTGAATCTGGGTTTTTATCCCTGTTTTTGCTCCCGTTGGCACAGTTCTATTGTCTATTATTTGCCCATCTTTGTATTCATTGCTTTGGGATGTCCCATGCTGTATGAAGAATTTGCGTGTATCCTGTATTGTATAATTAAGATAAGAATTTTGCCTTACCTTAGACTACAGTACAGGACACAGGACACCCACCCTCCCTAAACTCTCCTTGTTATTTTGCATTGCTTGCTACAAAACTGAGGACTCACAGAATGGGGTAGGGGTTATAGGGGCATTTCCTCAAAAGCTTGCCAGTGTCCAGTCACCTGAAGGTGCAAACCTATAACCCATGGTATATAAATAATAATGCCTGTGTCCTCTACTGTACACCAAGATATAGAATTTACAGTGAAGTCAAAATTAATCTTTTCTGTTACACTGGTAAAACTATGCATTTTATTATGACAATAATAACACTACCTTTCAGGCATTTGAGATTCCACTTGAAGAAGCAGAGTGGGTTGGCTTAACTTTGGAAGAAGCTGCAGAAAAACAAAGACTTCTAGAAAAGAAGGTACCACACTTTTTTAATTATGGGATCTAAGCTGAACAAAATATAATATACTGCAATTTACCAGTACTTAGGTGAGGTGACTGCATTTGTTTTATTTTTTTTTTTAGGTGATCCTGCCAGTAACACTTCTGTGTGTTAGGACTACAGAACACCTCCCCCCATAACAAGGAGCTGTTCTGTATTCCTAACACACATGAAGGGCAGGGCTGATAACACAGCTTGGGATTTTTAGAGTAGTAGGAGAGAAGCGCTATGTTCTTTGCTGAAACAGGAAGTTATAAGTCTGTTTTTGACAGGGTCAACACGTATTTTTCTGTACTTGCTTTTTTTTATGGTACAATATTTTTATTGAGGTTTCAAGGTTACAGTGCCTTGAAAAAGTATTCATGCCCCTTGAAATGGGGTCATGTTACAACCAAAAACGTAAATGCATTTTATTGGGATTTTATGTGATAGACCAACACAAAGTGGCACATAATTGTGAAGTGGAAGGAAAATAATAAATAGTTTTCAAATTTTTTTACAAATATCTGAAAAGTGTGTGGTGTGCATTTGTATTCAGCCTCCTTACTCTGATACCCCCAACTAAAATCTAGTAGAACCAATTGCCTTCATAAATCACCTAATTAGTAAATAACTGTTCTGTGAAGCCCTCAGAGGTTTGTTAGAGAACATTAGGGAACAAACAGCATCATGAAGGCCAAGGAACACAGGTCAGCGATAAAGTTGTGGAGAAGTTTAAAGCAGGGTTAGGTTAGGTTATAAAAAAAATATCCCAAGCTTTGAACATCTCATGGAGCACTGTTCAATCGATCATCTGAAATTGGAAAGACTATGGCACAACTACAAACCTACCAAGACATGGCTGACCACCTAAACTGACAGGCCAGGCAAGGACAGCATTAATCAGAGAAGCAGCCAAGAGGCCCATGGTAACTCTGGAGGAGCTGCAGAGATCCACAGCTCAGGTGGGAGAATCTGTCCACAAGACAACTATTAGTCGTGCACGCCACAAATCTGGCCTTTATGGGAGAGTGGCAAGTAGAAAGCCATTGTTGAAAGAAAGACATAAGAAGTCCCGTTTGCAGTTTGCAAGAAGCCATGTGGGGGACACAACAAACATGTGGAAGAAGGTGCTCTGGTCAGATGAGACCAAAATTGAACTTTTGGGCCTAAAAGCAAAATGCTATGTGTGGCAGAAAACTTAACACTGCACATCACCCTGAACACACCATCCCCACTGTTAAACGTGGTGGCAGCATCATGTTGTGGGGATGCTTTTCTTCAGCAGAGACAGGGAAGCTGGTCAGAGTTAATGGGAAGATGGATGGAGCAAAATACAGGGCAATCTTAGAAGAAAACCTGTTAAGGTCTGAAAAAGGCTTGAGACTGGGGCGGAGGTTCACCTTCCAGCAGGACAATGACCCTAAACATATAGCTAGAGCTACAATGGAATGGTTTAGATCAGGGATCTCCAAACTATGGCCCTCCAGCTGTTGAAGTACTACAAGTCCCATCATGCCTCTGCCTCTGGGAGTTTTGCCTGTGGCTGTCAGTCTTGCAAGGCCTCATGGGACTTGCAGTTCCTTAACACCTGGAGGACCATGGTTTGGAGACCCCTGGTTTAGATCAAAGCATATTCATGTGTTAGAATGGCCAGGTCAAAGTCCTGATCTAAATCCAATTGAGAATCTGTGGCAAGACTTGAAAATTGCTGTTCCTTTATCATTTTCCTTTCACTTCACAATTATGTGCCACCTTGTGTTGGTCTATCACATAAAATCCCAATAAAATACATTTACGTTTTTGATTGTAACATGACAAAATGTTGAAAATTTCAAGGGGTATGAATACTCTTTCAAGGCACTGTACATACAAGCTTAATACATATGTAATGTAAGAAGATAACAATGTAACTAAAAAAACACAGAGAATGTGTATGCGTTGGAAAGATTTTTTTTTTTTTTTTCCCCATATTCACACTTTACTGGTATGTTTTTGTTGGTAATGTAAATGCTACAAGTGTGTTAAAAAAATTACTACTACTGTAACTTTACCTATTTTTGGTTTCAGGACCCTACCCCTGTTTTTAAAACTGCTGTAGATGAACTTGTTCATAAAATAGCAGTTCAGAAATTGGAAGAGCCAGCAGTCATAGAAAACCGTCCTTAAAGATTTACCCAGTCAAAAACTTTTCCCCATCTTTGGAAGATATATGGCCTTAAAGGATAATCTGTGTGTGTAAATATATATCTAATACGTCGTTCTATAAATTGAATATAAAACAAGATTAAAAACCTTTTGATGGTAGTTACTTGTCTTTTTACTTATGGTAGTGACTACTTAAAGGGTCTGTCAATCCAAAATATTTCCATAATTCTGAGATATATGGGTTATACTGCCACCTACATGAGAACTGGACACTAGCAGCAAAAAACTGTTAGCCAGTATAACCACTACTGCTTGCTTCAGTTTTTGCTAGTGGACTTTTCAGAACAAGTCCACGACAACCATTTTTTTCCTTTTTATCAAGCCTTTTTTAAAATTCAGTCAAGTTTCTTCACTGCAGAGCCAAGAGACCTCTCTGCGGTTTTCTGGATTGGCTGATCCACAGTGCTCACTTGGAGGCCGTACCTAGCCCCTGCCATGAGGAAGATGCAGGCTCTAATATGACCCTAGGGCACTGCACTCTGCTTGTGATGCTCTTAAGGCACCTAGTGACCTGTTACATAGCCACAGAGCTCTTTACAGGTCTAGGGTTGCAAAACACCCACCGACTTAAACCTGTCCCTGAAGATTTCTTTGGAATATTCCTATTGGAGAACAGAAGAGTGTCTGGAATGTGATACTTATTAGCAGGATACTCTCCAGACCACCACTGAGGTAAGTGCAAGGCTCGCTCCTTTTTTCCTAGAGAAGCTGCAGTGTGTACTGTCTCCTGCATTTATCCTTTAACCCTTTCACTGCCTCTGATGTACTGTATGTCATACATCGGCAACAGAGAGGGAACTTAAACACATTCTGTTGGCTGTCAGGTGGAAGCAATTGGTTCCCCTCCGATCACTTTTAAGCACCCATTGCACAGAGCAAGTAAGCATTATGTTTGTTTGGGGTTTTTTTTGTTTTGTTTTTTTTTTGGAGACTTTACAATCGCTTTAAAGTTGGTGTTTTTTTTTTTCTGAAATTTTGTGCTTAATAAACCATTGCTCAAAAAAAATTGGCAATGCACAAGTGGCCTATGTCCAGGAAACTCATTTAAAACAAGGAGAAGCATCCAAGCTGCCTAATCACAAATATACCAGATGTTTGCAAGCATCTAATTCTATGAGCAAGTCTAAAGCTGTATCAATCTTATTTTTTAAGACAACCCCCATCATAATAGGGGAAGACATAACAGACCTAAAATGTCACTATCTCTTTTTAAAAGGGAAGATAAATGATAAACCTATGACTTTGGTAAATATATACTGCCAAAACACCTCCCTTTTGTATGAAAAATCTAATATCCTTGAAAGCTTTGCAGTCAGCATACTGATACTGAAATGGGGCGTGGGGGGGACCTTGGTGTCCCTCTTGTATCAGTGCAGGATACTTCAACAGGCAGTTCCATTCTTCCCTACGAAAGCTTAAGACAGATTAAAAAACAACCCGGAACCTTCTGCTTCCATGAAGCAAGGCATTTCATGCACCCAGGCACCAAGGATTACACGCATTACTACCATTCCCACAGTAGATACTGTACTCCATACTACTGCTTCCTAATAAATCACAATTTGCCCTATCTCAGAAATTCAACTATTGAACCAATGGTCCTATCAGACCATGCTCAAGTCACTTTGTCCCTCCATTTTAAAGTGCTTGTAAAGGTATTTTTTTTAAATTAAAATAAAAAAAACATTGTATACTTACCTGCTCTGTGCAATGGTTTTGGACAAAGTGGCCCCAAAACCACCTCCTCTGGGATCCCTTGCTGAAGCTCTCGGCTGCTCCTCCACTTACTATGAGGGCACTTTTGCAGGCTTGATCCGGAGCTGGTCTGCGTGCATCTATTGACACAGAGTGGCTTGGTCCCTCTTCCTCACAGTATTTTACTAACAGCAACAGGAGCCAATGACTCCCACTGCTATCTCTGAACCTGTGAGGAGCGAGAGAGAGAAATTAGCGCTGGATTGAGGGGTCAGGGGAGTTGAACATCTGAAGGCTAAACCTACTTCCACCTCTAATCTAAGAGTATTCTATCTACCCTGTGAAAGAAGATATCTATACTTACCTTTTCTGAAGGTGCTTTGATCCAGTCACATGATTGGGTCCCAGCGCTGGCTTCAGTGAAGAGGGACAGCCGACAGTAAGCCTATGAGTGACATCATCGTCCAGGCTCTGCAGCCATTGTCACTGCCTCCTCTCTACACTGAAGCCAGGGGTGGGACCCAATCATGTGACCAGTCCAGAGCGGCTTCAGAATAGGTAAGTATAGGCATCTTTTCTTTCACGGTAGATAGAACAGTCTTAGAATGGAGGTGCGAGTAGGTCTAGCATTAGTTAGAATTTGACTGGAAATACACTTTTAAGGTAAAAATGACCTTTAGCCTTTACAACCACTTTACATGATGCCTCTGATCCATCACATCACCAATGACAGCTAGATGAATATTTTACCCATACACAACCCCAGATACCACATTGATGCCTTTGTGGGAAAAACACAATTACGTTATTAGTTGAAAAATACTGGAACTTTAAGTGCAAATGAAAGTTGATGCTCAAAAACAGGTGGTTAGACTGACTAGGAGAGTATCTGCTCTTAAAGCACAAGCTCTACACAAAAACCAATTATTAATTTGCCCTGCACCTGACTGTCTTATGAGCATAGCAATAAATGTGGTAAGAGCTCACCAGAAAACTTCAAAGTAGGATAGTAGCGTACAGTATTGAACACACCAAAACTCAAAGGACTGTCCACTTGACATCAAAGAGACTATGTGTGTATGTATGTATATATAATTATTTTTTTATTTTATTTACCAAGCCCCTCATCACCTTCCCCAATCTTTTACAAGCCTTCAACGAATTTGGCCAGTTTTGGCAATTCTGAAAGTGAATGCTAAACCATCTTTATCTATTCCAGGCTATACCAATACAGCTCCCTAATTCTTTTCTATCCTCTGTTCAGGTTTCTGTAAAACAATAAATCCCCCAGAACCAGCATGGGGACTCTTACCAGACTGAAACACATGGGAGGCATCAGCTTGCCTGAAACTCACAAATATTACTGGGTCTGTCATCTTCCATGCATAGTAGACTGGGCGGTCCAAATTTAATCCAAAGACTGGGTCCACAGTGAGCAATTATTTCAGGACCAAAGATCGACTCAAGTCACTGTATCAATAGAGAATACCCCCCCCCCTTTTTTTTTTTTTTTTTTTTTTTTTTTTTTTTACTTCTCACCCTACCATAGGTGCATCCCTAAAGGTTTACACTTGGATGTTCAAAACACTTGTAGTACCTAACATACAAGGCCCATTATATCTTCTGCACTTAAACCGGGAGTTCTCCAGGCCAAATAAAAAACCTATCGTTATAGCATCTGCCCCCAAAACTCATGCCCAGGGTGTTCTTTTAAAAGAGCACATTTTGTGATCAAAATACTTGCAATTCTCTAAATGAAAATGGTCCAATGCCATACTAGACATTGTTTCAAATAAACTATTTTCAACCATCCACAATACAGACAACCATACACAATGTACCCACACACCCTTTGAGAGCCTATGTTCCTCACTAGACCCAATTCCCTATGTGATATTGATCATTGATCCTGGCATGACTAAATCAACATCTCCCAAAGATCTATCCTTTTGGGAATGGAAATGTGACCTTATTTAAAACTTCACAACTGAGGAATGGCAGCAAATGGACTTATCTTTGAAATTGTCAACATCAAGGAGACAAACTATAAGCCTAAGTCCTAGTGGTACAGAACTCCCACAGTGCTACATCATATATCTGCAAAAATTCCAGATAAGTGCTGGAGATGTCATAAGTCGAAAGTCACCCTCATCCATGTAAGGTGGCAGTGCCTGCTGATCCATCCATTTTGGTCTGAAGTATACCACTTCATCTTCACAATTACTGAAATCCCATTTCCTTTTCTCCCAGCCCCATTCTTACTACACCATAACCATAAACAGCCATATCCTTAATTTCTTGGCGGTGGAAATCATATCATCCACCTACCACTTGCAAGTGGCTTTTCCAGATAAAATCGATCTACACCATGGAAAAATGAATTCACATATGTCAAGATAACATGGGCTGCTTACTCTTGACCTTGACCAGGTGGTACCTTTTCAAATACACCCCCGCATACCAACATCCAATGTTCCCTCTGCTTTAACCATCTAAATTAGACCTGTCGCATGACATGGCTTGACAAGGGGCCAGCACTTGAACACCCAATGTTAATGAACGAGGGGGTGGAGAGTCACTTAACTTTGTACAATTACTCACAGCCAGGCATGCCTGGGACACATTGGCCTTCAACACCATCTATGGAGCCTTTCCCATCGTCTTCTACCCTCTCCTTAATTGCACACTCTTCCTATGATTGCTTAATATTAACTTTGGAATGACAAACGTAACAAAGCAAATTGCACATGTCTACTGGTGACAGCCAGGGATTTTTTCCTTCGTTCAGAGGAAATTCCTTTCACTTCAAGTTATGGCTTACTCTATCCAACATTACAAAAAAAGTTTTGCCTATAGTTCTACTTTAAAGTGTATTTCCAGTCAAATTCTAACTAAGGCTACTCCCACCTTACTGGGGACACTAGTTCTGTTAAGCCCTGGTGGCTAGAGATGTGCACAACCAATTTTTTTCTTTTTTTCAGATTTGCTCAAAGTTAATACTTTAATAATATTTGTTATGTTAGAATGTTTTGTTTATGTTTCATATATTTAAATTCGTTTCATATATTCATTATTTTCGAATCGATTCGAAAATCAAATTTCAGAACAGGGTTATATTCTTTTGGTTTTATTCTTTTATTTTCTATTCAGTTCTTTTGCGTTCTATTCTTTTATTTTCCATTTTATAATATTCTATTCTTTTTATTCTATTCTGTACGATTCTATTTTTTTATGCTGTTCTATAAAGCAGCATAAGTAGGAATCAT